ATTAGATTTTAAAATAAAAACAATAAAAAATGAAAAAAAAAACAATATTAAAGATAAAGAGTACAGAAGGAAGGAAAGAATGAAAAAGAAAAGAGAGAACATTCTGACTTTCCTCACAACAGATATAGGTATAAACTTACACTAACTGACTCTAAGTTTACAACATTAACTCTCATTTTTTTCTATTGTCCACTATTATTTTTAGTCATCAAAACCATACACCATTATTTCATTTTTTTCTGTTTCATACAAAAAGTCCAAAAAAGGCTTCCAATTAGGATTAAAATTACTTTTTAAATTTTAATTAGTCTTTTCTCTAATCAAAGCTGTCACTTTTTCCGTCTCAGCCAATTCCATCAACTTCACCAACCATTCTTCCATTGTGGGTAATGTCAAATCTTTCCACCATTGTCCTTATAAAAGCCTCACCACTGTTATAATATATAGAAACAAAGTTCCATGAGTTTTTTCCAGCTGACTAAACCACCATATTCCCCACCGGAAGCCTCCTATCTTTTTTATTCTTTAAACATTTCAATTTTTAAAGATGATCGCCATTGTCCCAGGCACAGTTTCTAATAATATTCAAACATGAAATCAAAAAGACTTCAATAAAGCTGAGCTAAATGAGCCAATAACCTATAAAATGATCTGATGATCTGAAATATTTTCTCCCAAGTTTCCTTTTTTTATCATGTCAATCTGCAAAAGCCCCTGTTCAAGAATAGAATATTAGTTAGGCAAATAAAAGCACATCTGCTTATTTATTTATTTGCATTTCAATCTAGCTATACCACTTCATCAGAAGACTTTCATTTAACAACAGTGCTGGAGAAAAGGTTTCCATTGATCCAAATGGGAAACTGGTAGTAGGATTTGATATTATCAACTGGGTCACATTTCCAAACCAGTCCTTTCAGAGACTCAAAGTTGGAGAGATGAGATCAGACACACAGCTCACCATTTCAGAGGACACAATCAAATGGCCTAGCAGCTTTAACCAGGTGATCATTTTAACTAGGGAAAAAGGGGTATGGATACAAATCCATTCTAAAGAACAAAGTTCTATAAACTAGGTAGCACCTTCATGAACAACCTTTCCAAACCTGGGCCCCCCCCAATACATTTTAAGTGGTATGGCAGGAAATTGCCTTTTGTTCTCTTGGACACAAATTATTTAATGTATGATGTTTCCTTTTCTTCCCACAGACTCGACCCTTTTCTCGTTGCAATGATGATTGCCCTGCAGGTTACAGAATGGCAAAGAAAGAAGACAAGCCATTTTGCTGCTATGGTTGCCTTCTTTGTCCAGAAGGCAAAATTTCAAACCAAGAGAGTAAGATTTGTTATGAACATATGCTTCTTACTGGCTATAATGCATCAGACATATTTCAGAAATGTATATATTTTTAAAAAACTATCTCTAACGTTTAAAACAATGGTTCATAAATCAGTTAAGAAATTGGCAACATTTACTTTCACATTTTGTATTAGGAGCCTTCTTTCAACCTTGTACAAGCTTAGCACTGGTTTCATGAGTATAATGGGCTGGTTCTAGATTTAATTCACCAAGTAAATTGAACAAAATCAATGTGACTTAAATACATCACCGCTAATTAATTTCTGAGAGTTTTTTATAGTTTGAATGGTTCTCATTTTGATGCAAAGTTCCTACTGTGGCTCTGAATTTTCTGATGCAATCCCATACAAAGAAATCAATACAAAAAAGGTATATTGTGGAAAGATGGACAGACTTGTGTATGTAAGTGGAATTTATTTATAAAACATTTCATATTATGGAACAGTGCTTGCAAAATTTGGGAAAGAGTTACATAAAAGCATGGAGTACAAGTCCATGTATGAAAATACTTATGAAATGTGCAGATTTTAGCATTCAAAACCTGATGTTGAAATTGAGCACAAGCATTTTCAGGTTGGATTTATGCAAAATGGAAGGAAACCAGAACGGATAGTCCCCCATCCTTCTTCTACTCTGAAAATGATTAAGGTTGAAACCAACTCATGATAACCAAAGATTTCTTTCTTCCAGATATGGCTGACTGTTTGAAATGTCCAGAAGATCATTATCCAAACAATTACCAAAACTTATGTATTCCAAAATACATGCATTTTTTGTCATATGAAGAACCTTTAGGGTTTACTTTGGCCACTTTTGCTCTTTCGCTTTCTTTTATTACATTTCTTGTGTTAGGAACATTTTTCAAATACCACACGACACCAATAGTCAAAGCAAACAACCGGAACCTCACATATATTCTACTTATCTCTCTCCTGCTTTCTTTCCTTTCTCCTTTATTATTTCTTGGCCACCCTAAAAAGGTTACCTGTCTACTTAGACAAACTGGTTTTGGTATCATCTTCTCTGTGGCTCTATCTTGCATATTGGCAAAGACCAGCATGGTGATTCTTGCTTTCAGGGCTACAAAACCAGGGTCTGGGTTAAGAAAATGGATAGGAAATCAGTTAGCTATCTCCATAGTCCTTTTCTGCTCCTGTATTCAAATCATTATTTGTCTTGTGTGGCTAGCCAGGTCTCCACCATTCCCAGATTTTGATATGCACTCAGTAATACATGAAATTACCCTTCAGTGCAATGATGGGTCTGTTTCCATGTTTTATTGTGTCTTGAGTTATATGGGTTTCCTGGCTATTGTCTGCTTCATGGTGGCCTTCCTAGCTAGAAAGTTGCCAGACACTTTCAATGAAGCCAAGTTTATCACCTTCAGCATGCTGGTCTTCTGTAGTGTTTGGGTATCTTTTGTTCCAACCTACTTGAGCACCAAGGGGAAATACATGGTGGCCGTGGAGGTCTTCTCCATCCTGACTTCCAGTGCTGGGTTACTCAGTTTTATCTATTTTCCCAAATGTTTCCTCATTATTCTGAGGCCTTCTATGAATACAAGGGAACAACTAATAAAAAGAAAACATTGAAATTTCTAATTTGGCTTTTGATTTTAAATACTCTAGATTTTAAAAAAAAGTCTTCCACTTTTTTTCCCTAAAAGATTCTAGGTTCTAAAAGAAATGTTAAGCTAAAAAAAGCCAGAAGTTAAGAGTGTACTTACTTACAGTTAAGGTAAACATTCATTAGAAATACAGCCACCTTCCTAGAGGAAGAATAAAATCCTTCTTTCCATGTTTATCTTTGCTATTGTAGTTCTTGTGTCTTATGTCATTTGTCTGTATGTGCGTGTGTATTTGTGTGTTTCCTATTGTTCTTTGTTTTTAAGTGTTGTAACAATTGTAAGCCGCCCCAAGTCATTGGGAGTTGGGCAGCATATAAATTTAATAAATTATTATGGTTGGTTGCATAGTCAGCCAGATGTTTAAACTGGATCTGGAATTTTTGTCCTATTATTAATATTATTATTATTATTATGATTATGTGTCATTTTAGACTCTTAGTGACCACATAGATCTTCTCCATGACGATCTGTCCCTAACCTGTTCTTTGAAGTCTCCCAATGGTGAATTCATCGCCACTGTACTGAGTCCATCCATCTTGCTGGTGGTTGTCCTCTTCTTCTCTTTCTTTCCACCTTTCCCAGCATTACAGCTTTTTCCAGAGAGCTGGGTCTACGCATCATATATCTGAAGTGGGATAATTTGAGCCTGGTCTTTTGTTACTCAAGTGAGAACTCTGGATTGATTTGTTCGATGCTTCATAGGTTTCTTTCTTGGCTGTCCATGGTATACTCAGGAGTCACAACACCAAAGTTCAAAGGCATGAATACTCTTCCTATCTTGCTTCTTTAAAGACCAACTTTTGCTTCCATACAGTGTCACAGGGAATACCATGGTTTGCGTGATTCTGATCTTTTTAGTTGTAGAATATCACAGCATTTGAATATCTTTTCCAAGGCCTTCCTGGCTGCTCTACCAAGTGCTAGTCTGCAGCACATTTCTTGAAAGATGCCTCCTTTCCAGATTACCTAGTTATCAGTTTGATCCTGTTGGGCCCGAGGAAGTGGACAAGATCCGTGGGACTGTAAGCACTACTGCCTGTATATTAGATCCATGCCCCTCCTGGCTGGTTGATGCCTCCCGGGAGGTAACATGTGGATGGTCCTGGTGAAAGTGAATTCATCCTTGGTGGAGAGGGTGTTCCTGGCACCATTGAAGGTGGCACTTGTTCGCCCTCTCCTCAAGAAGCCATCACTGGACCCTACCATTCCGGACAATTTTCGTCCAGTACCTCACCTCCCCTTTTTGGGGAAGGTGATAGAAAAGGATCTGAGGGGAAATTTACAGCTTTCCCTGTTGTCATGGTCAGATCACATCCTGATGACCCTGAGTTTGTCCTGTGCCACCCCCCTCTGCGGGGAGGTGGGACCAATGCGATTGGTCCGCCCCCGGTGCCTGGTGGACCCGTCAGGGTTTCAGAGGGAGCTGGGGGATATTCCCATGGACCTGCTGTATGGTCCAGCAGAGGCCTTGGCTGCTGGTTGGAATAGGGAGGCAGTTGGGGCCTTGAACAGGATCGCGCCTATGCAACCTCTCTTGCCACATCAGCCCCGATACTCCCTGTGGAGTTGAGGGTGTTGAAGAGGGTCAAGAGATATCTAGAGTGCCGCTGGAGGAAGACAAAGACTGAATCCGACCATACACAGGTTAGAGCCACTGTCAAGGCCTACATTGTGGCAATAAGGTTGGCGAAGCGTCAATACTTCTCTGCCCTTATCATGTCTGCAGAATGCCGCCTGACGACCCTGTTTAGGATCACTAGGTCCCTCCTTGGCAAGGGGGATGTGGAGGTTCATTTC